ACATGCATGGAGCAGAATCGTGGATATAGTATGTTACCTGCCGAAAATATCTGTGGCTGCCTAGTTTAGTATGCACGTTTTGCACACATAAATGCGCCAGTGGACCAAGCTCCATCTAAATTTCTAAAACTGAGCACGTTCATTCTTAGGCCGGTATTCTTATTTTTAAGATCGTCTTAAGTTCATCTTTAGATGCTGTACGACTCGTTTTATTGGCTACGGAGTATCTGAAGGTAAACTTAAAACGATCTTATGTATAAGATATCTGACTATGAATGCCGGCCTTAGAATTATCTCTGGTTTTATGAACAAATTATCATTTGGTACACATTATCCACCATCGTGCTCAATAGGTATTACTTCCTGATGGAAGCGAGTTGAGGAGATCTGTTCTAGAGTGCAGCATGAGTCACATTTCCAAGCTTTTGACCGATGCGATTAGAACTTGCGTACCTTTTCATCTTTATATCGTTGAATTCTTGCGTGAAAAGTATTGCACGTGTACGATATTTGGATTCACAAGTTTTTATAATTAAAATCGTGCACAAAATACACAAAATTACTATATTAATTAGATAAAAATACTTAGATGAAAATAAGCATTGAATAGCTTTCTGATTGTACGTATTGATTAATCAGTTAACGATTTTTATGACATTTATTGCTATATAAAAAAAAGTGAAATTTTGGAACAGAATCAATAATATAAAACTGATTACGGATAACTTACATATCAGGGTAACGTTCATATCACGTTGTAAAGTACCAGTTCTCGTCCGATCACTGAAGTCAAGCAACGTTGAGCACGGTTAGTACTTGGATGGGTGACCGCTTGGGAACACCGTGTGATGTTACCATCAAATTTTTTTGCATTTTTTTGGATTTTTATTATTACACAAACGCGCGCGCTATTTGGCTTTAATGTTATATCATTATATACTATTATGTACTATTTATATACATCTGTAATGATATTATATATATTATATACTATTATATTACACTATTAACTCCTTGATACATAAAACTGTCAAAATATGCGATGAGACAGATGTTCACGAAGTAAGCGTAGTGGAAGAACCTATCGCATCGCGGAAAAGCGTCAACAATGAATCTGTTTTCTGCTGCTGAACTGGCTGCACTGGTTTTTTGCAGAGTTTATCTTTTTCTTTTCAATGTGGAGTAAAGAAGATAAACTCTGAACTAGTGCAGCCAGTTCAACAATAAAAAATAGACTCAATCTTTTATATGGCTTTTTTAAGAGTGGATTTTTTGTTGCATTCTGGATTTCACATTTCAGATTTAGAATTTAATGGCTCACACCGACTGTTTAGTACGCGTACCAAGTACTACATCCATATCAAATCCGTATTATTGTAGATCTCGGGTTATACCGGTGTAAACCGAGATTTGATACGAATATAACAGTACCTATACTTAGTACGCGTATCAAACGGTCGGTGTAAACTAGGCCATTAGGTATCAAAATAACAATTAATCACTAATATGTGTTATATAGTTTTTGAAAATAGGAAGTTAAATATACACTGCTCAAAAAAATTATGGCATAGAAAAAAATTTGCCAAAAATTGGCCAATTTTGACTGCCGATCACTTCGCGAAATATTACCGTAGACGAATGATTTTTTTTTCTCAAATTGAAGCTTGAAGTCTCTATTAAGAATGTACCTCCATTTTTTGAATGCGATGCACCCCTACCCCTGAAATCTGGAGGGTTTGGCATACTGAAAATTGCAAAGTTTGATGAAATGCACGGACGTGGAAAAATTTCTTTCGGGGACGCCGTTTGTATCGGCATAAAATTTAATTTAAAAAAAAGCGAAGTTGCTACGATTTTTTTCGCAAAGTTACAGCTCTTCAAAATTACCGTTGTTGTTTGGCTTTTGGACCAAGTATATACCGGCCGGCGGGTTTAATGACTGTAAGCTATAGTAGAGCAATGGCAAAAGTGTTTGTTGAATGTTGACACACACGCGCGCATACGTGTGCACAGAAGGAAAGGTTTGAAGTCAATAATTACTGTGGAAGTGACGAACCACGGGGTCCTTATCTCAAAAACCAAGGAACAACGATAATTTTGAAGGGCTGTAACTTTGCGAAAAAAAATCGTAGCGACTTCGCTTTTTTTAAAATTGAAGTACAAAATTTGAATTTTATGATGATGCAAACGGCGTCTCCGAAAGAAATTTTTCCGTGCATTTCGTCAAACTTTGCCTCAGATTTCAGTATGCCAAACATGCATGCCCTCAGATTTCAGAGGTTACCACAGGGGTATAGATGTATCGCAAAAAATGGAGATACATTCTTAAAGTAGACTTCAAACTTAAAAAAAATATATATTTATGTACGGTAATTTTTCGCGAAGTAACCGGGCAGTCAAAATTGGCCAATTTTCGGCAAATTTTTTTCTATGCCATAATTTTTTTGAGCAGTGTATTTAAGATATGTTTTTATACTGTTTTTATTAATATATAAAATTGTAACTATTTTCTTAAATACAAAGAACGAGAAATTAACTTTTTATAACAAAAATTGCAATAAATATCGTGATTTTTAATAATATTAATAAAAATTCTAAACATTAACTGCAGTAATTAAAATAAGCTGATAATAATGAATGTAAATCCAAAAACAAAGAGTCAGCAGTCGTCTAAACGTCATACTTCAAACCATAGTTACAACATGCATTAGAAAAGGGTTGTCGCGTTTTCTGGCAACTGGTATGTACGTCGCGGGCAATAAACAAGATCACGGGACCGAGGGTCCCGATGGTGGGGCACGATGGTAAGGGCAACAGGGATGAAGGGAGGAGACGGGTGGCCGATTTTAATATGGACGCCCCCGCAAGCGGTTGTGCGTCCGATCTGAGTAGGCGTTCCTACGACCCTTTGTCAACCGACAACGCTGCATCTTATCGTGCGATCGTAGTCGGGGATCTCCCCATTCCGCCACGTTCGGCCCTTGAGGCCATCGCTGTTGCTGCCGCTTGTTCAAGCGGAGAGAGTGAAAGAGAGAGAGAGAGAGGAGAGAGACACCGAGTCCCTTCCTCCCGTTACATTGACGGTTATAACTCTTTGCGTCGTTTTTTCCACGTTGGTTTACGTCGCCGCGACTTCGTCGTCGCCGTCGTGCCGCGATCTGGCCCGCCGATCGGCTTCGTCCAGTATCGCAGTTGCGCGATCCCGCATCGATCAGAGATGGAAACTGGTTCAGATACCCGACGCGGAGATTTACATACGAGGATACGATACGCGTGGATAGAGGCGCAAGTCTGATTTATGAGTTTCGATATTTTTCGAACGGTTAATTGTATTCGGCAGCGGCAATAAATCGGTTAATATTTATGGATTTGACTACCTGCGAACATCACTGATTTATAATTAGATGGGAGAAATTACAGTCTTTCCACTTTTATGCGATATAAATAGATAAATATAGTGAATTTTTATTTGTATATAGCCAGTAACTACAGTGTTAATTTTCTTCCATGTTTTTATTATAAAAAAAAAAAAAAACAAGCTCGTCCAGCTTACATATCTACAAAAATCAGTTAATTCATCATTTCCGCGGTGCATCGGTCGTTTTCCTAA